CATAGTTATTGAAAAATATTATTGGAGCAGTACATTTAAAGGTCAAGTCAGGTCTGGCATTTGGGTGATCTTTTATTTCTCCAAGCCTGTAATGACAGGCTAATTTTCCCTGAACCTCATCTTAAATCTTAGCCTTTTACCGTAAATGAAGTGTTGCTTGAGGAGTACTAGGGGACTGACCATTCCATAGAAACAGAAGGCAAGGCATGTCTGGTGAATCTGTAAGCAAAGACAAACCAGTATGGTACAGGCGCTCTTTGATGGGATTGAAAATACTAAGATTAAAACATATGAGGTGTGTGGGGAGACTAAATGTACAAATGTAGGAGTAGAAATGTTGTGATTTACAAACAGCATAAGACTTGTAGGTATTGTGTGTGTGTATTTAAACACACACCCACTCACATATTGTTTACATGAAAATACATAAACAGAATGTAAGGGCATCAGACATTCAGAAGTTTAGAAGGTGGCTGAACTATGGTTGCCTGTTGGGAAACTGGTGAAATCCTGCAGTGAGGCAATGTCTTTCAACTTCCAACTTTCTACTCTTCCCCAGCTCCACAGTGCTGTGTTGCCAGAGGTCCCACACAGCATTTCAAAGCTTCTGAAAAACCTGTTCCATATGTTTAAGATTCCAAAGGTTCTTGCACGGGTGCTGTCTGCATCTCTGCTGTTCTCTGCATGCAGCAGTAGCCTGAGGAGAGAATTGGTTTCATGTGACCCTACCTGAATGAACGGTGGCCTGTCTGGGTGTGATGTGTTGGGTTATAGTAGGTGCAATACTGGACTTCATGGTAGGGCTGTCTGGGTGTGCTGTATTGGATTATGATAGCTGGGATATTAGACTTCCCTTCTGGCATTAAACTCTTTCCAATAAACAAGCATTTGTGTGCTAAATCACATACTTGTTTGTTCCTTCACCCTATTTATAGGTAAGCTTTAGTTGATGCAAGGTATACAGAAGGATGCGATTTGGATCCCACGGTAACGCTCAGGTAGATGGTTCTGCCCGTGCTGGGTTTCAGCCTCTGGGGAAATCAGGGTCACTTCTACTGGTGCCTTTCACAGGCTGTGCGGCAGTTACCTAACTTGTGTCAGTGCCTTTTCAAATACATTTATTTTGCAGGCAGCTTAAACAGTCTCATTACTGCCAGACCGTGTGAGGGCTGAGCCACACTCCCAAATCATGAAAATACCAGTCAGTAAGGGATACTTCATGTGATGTCTCATCAAATTTAAGGCTCTGTCCCACAGATTACAGTTATGACAAGCCATATAATAATTACTGATGGTACACAAAGGATTTCTCAATTCTTTTGAAGTTCTCCACTACAAAATGCCTTTAGCAATTCTGGTGAAAATCACAAGGTTTGCATGTTGCTGCTTTCTATTTGCGTATCAGTCAGCCTGAAGGTTTATGCCTCCATGGAAGTGTGTGTATGCGTGTGGTGTTGCCTAGATGTAATGAAAATGAAGCTTGTTCATTCCTCCCACTTTAAAACCAACATTTTCCTTGAAATTTATATCTAGGATAAGATGGCATAGGAGGGAAGATCTTTTATCTGAAGAAGTTGTTTAGTCCAACCCCTTATCTTGATGATAGACATTGATATAGTGCTGTGCAGCTGCATTTTGCTTCATATCATCCACATAAAAACATCTTGTCCCAGTTTCTCACCTTTAAAGCATCTTGAATTTGTAACTGAAGGGAAAGCGTTTTTCCCCAGACCCGATTAGTAACTTCTGAGCTGATTTAACCCAGCTATCTGGGTACCATATTACTAGAGAGGAGCGGATAAAAGTTACTACTGATGGTGACTTGACCCTTATCTTCTATATAATTAATTCTTGTTTGGTGCATCTTGTGAAGAGCAAAGATACTCCAAAGAGATCCTGACCCTTCAGTAAATATAGTTAATAATTTAGATGAAAAACATGTTTACTCAAACTTTCGGGTGTCACAGGTTGTGAAAAGAAGGGAGCCCTTCACAGGAAGGACTAGAGCTTTTGTAGTTCACTGATTACAGCCTATTGCACAGTATTCTTCATGGAGTGAGAGTTTCCTCTTTACTCCGTGTTGGTTTTTTACAGAGATAGCAGCTATGGGATTGAAATTCCATACAGTATGTGTATATATGCAAATACAGATGCTATGTAAAACAGACAGCAAGAGATGACAGGTGGATACAACTAACACTCACGAAGGGCAAAAGTAATAGTGGTAGGGCTATAAAAGGTCACACCAGACTGGTGCTTTACATGAAAAAGATGGGGTTCAGGAAGAGAGCTTAGAGAGTTCCTTCCAAGCACAACTCAATATTCTCCCATGAACTCTTAATGTTCATGCAGCAGGGAATAATGTCCAAAGCAATGTTTGAGTTGTTTATTGTTATTCTGTTCCGCATTCTGACGCTTAGTACCAGTCGCCCCTGACTCCTTTCTGGTTTTACTGTCATGAATTTAGACATTTCTGAGTGTAGACGAGCAGAAGATGAAAGGCCATTCTCTGTTTTGTTCCTGGTGCTCTTTCATAGTTCGCTTCCTCTGGGAATGATTCAAAAGAGGCACTGTGCAGCAGAAGACTCAGTGCAAGACAAGAAGGCCAACTGGGTTTTGTTCTCTAGTTTACTAAGTGTTTCTGGGCATATAATTTAATTTTTCAGTTGTAAAATGTGAGCCCTTACCAGTGGATGAGGATTGATTAGATGACTGAAAAAATAATCTGGATAGGGCATAAAAAGATCCTGCTTTTTAACACTGTGATACTTTAAAGTCACTTACCCTATCTAGGTAGTGAATTTGATAGACAATTCCTTGTGTGAAGAGCTTTAAGCTTTGTGAGCAAAAAGCACTGTATAAACATCAACCACTGTTACCAATAATTTCAGATGCTCACATTCTTCTCCCTTTTTGTGGGCAGTAGCACGTACTTCTAAGTTTCTGGAAGACTTAGGGTAACATGATCGGTGCCGAATTCATGTAATCTCTTGCTGTGCAACTATCTTGGAGAAAGTACAGGCTCTTCTAGAGTTGTATCCTTTTCCTCTCCATGCAGCGTCCTATCATCTCGATCTGTTGGGGTCACAGGGATTCGCGCCTGCTGATGGCTTCTGGACCCGCATTGTACGTTGTCAGAGTTGAGCACAGGGTCTCCAGTCTGCAGCTGCTGTGCCAGCAGACCATCGCTAGCTGTCTGCGGGATGACAAGGATATCAGCAAACTGACCCTGCCCCCTCGGCTCTGCTCGTACCTCACCACTGCCTTTATACCAACAATCAAGGTAAAATGAACAAAATGTGTGTGTGTGAGAGGAAGAAGAAAGGGTTGCTTAATTGCCCCCCATGGTGTTCCTAAGTGACAATGGATAAATTATAAGATATTACAACTTTTATAATTGTAATTTTAAAAGCTTGATTAAGGGTCATTCCTGTCCTCTTCAAGAGCCCACTGATTCATTTGGTGCCTATTAAAATCTGAAAAGAAGGCTCACACATGCTGATCTGCATTATTCCAAGGGGATGGCCTTTCCAAGGACATCCCAAGGGTAAAATATGCTGGTGACTCACAAAGACTACTGAAGAAGCTTATGATACTGTGTCACGGTTATAGGAGAGATTCACAGTGGTAAAACTGTTGCCTCCCTATTTGTTACATGAGTCCTTATGTTGCCAGGAAAGTTATACTTAAGACCTATGGCTGCCTAAGTATTTCTACTGACAGTGAGTTCTGGTAACCTTACTGCTCCAACAGTGCTATGGAAAAATGAACCAGATATTATGCCTTTTCCTGTACCACTAGCAGAGCCATCTACTCAACCCCTTTGTTTCATGGTTTTGCCCTCAATCACATCTCAGGATTTCCGAACTCTGTATCACAGCCTATAAACCAGAGCAATAGCTGGCAAATGCCCTACATTCAAACATGTATTTTTGTGTTTCATATTTTTTGTGTATGTGTTACAGCATTCTCTGGAGCCAGTTTCAGGTCCTTGTTAAAACAATGCAGAGCTAGAATAACTAATTTGAAACCAGTGGAGTTGGCCCAGCTTAAATGAGAACAAATTATGCTTGTAAAATAATGGTTCAGCACAGTTCCATTTGGCTACTGCTAATCAGGGCAATTTGTGCAACTGTGAAACATTTCATTTGCCAGAGAAGAACAAATGCCTTGCTGTAACTGTAACTCCTCGATCTCCAAAGATGCAGAGCATTTAATAGACCAGTGGTTCTCAGTTCTTTCTAGCATGCCCACTTCTCCCCAGGATGCTTTCCATGTTGTCCCAGAGCCACCCCTGCAGCTCTCTAGAGCATCAGTGATGCTTGCTTGGCTGTTAGGGAAGGCAGAGGAAGGGAGGGGAGGGGATGGGATGAAGGCAGCAGTTGGCTGTAGCAAGGCTGGGAGCCATGACAGGGATCAGAGGGGCAGAGGCAGTATAGGGACACGTCATTGCCGACAACCCTTCTGTCACCTCCTAGAGGGGATGCCGGGGTGGGGAGTGGTGATGGGGCTGCATAGCTGAGAGCCTGAAGCAGGGTTCCTAGAAGCCACGTGCCCCTCCTGCTTCATTGGTGTTTCTGGAGCCTCCTCACCACTGCTTTATACTTTACCCTGGCTCTCCCCCAGCCACCTACTCCCACATGCATTGTTAGCCATGCCTCCAGTGCCTGGCCAGGCACCCTCTTCCCTGCATACATTCCTCTTCCCTGCTGCAGCTTGAGGACTACATTATAAATCGCTCCTCAACCCATATCCATCTCACCAGGTTAAGGATGCTCCTTTTTTCCCTACTTTTTTTCTTGTACTTTCATTTTGAAAGAGACTGTGTTGTCTTATACGCGTTAGTAGTACTTGTGTCATACAGCCTATATTGGCCTAGACAAAAGCAGTCCAGCTGCTTTAAGACTTGAGCTTTTCATGGATTAATACAGTGTACTGGCAAGCAGGGAGAAGTAACCCATCCTGAGCTTTGTGCTTGTATTTCTTCACATTGCTTACAAATAGGCCCTCAGCAAAGATGGGTCACATGCTTGGAAGTGGTGTAAGAAATACAAGCTTCTTCCAGAGCTGACAGCGCTGTAGCATAGTGGCATAGCATGTACCAGTATTAACCAGGAATGGGAACCTAAGTGGCCAAATTCACATGGAGGGCCAGCAAGAGACAAGATATTCTGAGACTTAGACTTGACCACATTACCCAAGTTAAAAGAGAAGTTGGTGATAGAGCCAGGACTTGAAGACAGGTTTGTTAGTGCTCTAACCACAGGTCCAACCTTCCTTCTTGATGTAACTAGTTTTAGTTTTCTGTGTACAGCTGCTTTTGACCTAACAAAATAGTACACAGCCACTCTGTCTTGCATGTGGGTCCTGCATAACCCACACAGTAACCTGTACTAGTCTTGACCTGCCAAGTTAGAGTTGGGTTCAAATTAAGTTAGTTGTGTTGGGATTAAGTCACCACACAAAAAAACCCAGCAATAACCTATAGGAAACTTTCTCTTTCCTTCCTTCATTTAATTAAGCCTCCTATCCCAGACCCAAACAATATGAGAGATTTTGTCAGCTACCCAACAGCTGGTAATGAACGGCTTCACTGCACAATGAAGCGGACAGAAGATGACCCAGAGGTCGGTGGTCCATGTTATACTCTGTACCTGGAATACCTTGGGGGACTGGTGCCTATCCTGAAAGGACGTCGTATCAGCAAGTTGCGGCCAGAGTTTGTCATCATGGATCCTAAAACAGATGGAAAAGCAGGTAGAATTGAATTGTTGCTCTGTATAAAAAATGATTTAGAAATACTTCAGATATTAAATCCTCAGGAGTTAAAGAAAATCTGTATAAGCAACACGGAAGGTGGCATCTGATTTTTTTTCTGATGCAAAAAAAGATCTTCAGCTTGAACTAGGCTTAATCATCTGAAATTATATCATGCTGTTTTCTGTTCTACAAAAGGGAACTTCTTGTATTTTGAACAGTGGGGAATAGATTGCTAATTAGCAGAAAATATTCTTCAGTCTCAATTCTTTTTCTCAATTCAATCTCAAGTGAATTGAACGCTATTCACCGCTCTGAAAGATGTTCACTTGAGTTTGAACCATTGGAAATGTGGAGTTTATACTAGGCAGGGTGAAGAACAGTTAATTTTCTCTGCATAGCTTTATCTCAACTGCTGCCTGTGGATCGGATTTATGCTTCTGATGACTGATAGTTGTAAATGATATCAGTTTTCTGAAGCAGCACTTATATTTTCTGGGGCCTGTCTTGATAGATGAAATCTATGGAAACAGCTTGATTTCCACTGTGATTGACAGCTGCTTTTTAATACTGTCTTGACACCTCATAAAATACAAGCAAACTCCTTTGGGCAGATAGGAGTCTTCTGGAGGAGTGGGGTCCTCTACAGTGTGCAGTTACGTGGTGATCTCAGAGATGGGTGTTGAGGCGGACTTTGGGGAAGGTTCTGGAGCAAAAGGTAATGGGAAACAATAGGGCACCACTTCTCCCCAGGCAGCCTTGAAGAAAGATTTTATAAACTCTCCCACCAGTGCCTCTGCCACATGTAAACTCCTGCCACCACAGGATATATTTCATCCTTCAGACAGTCTGTGGTTTTACCTTCTCTGTGCTTAGGGTCCCTGGTCTAGTCAAAGCCTTTACTTCCTATATTTAAAGCTTTTTATTTCCTCAGGGTTATTTTTAAATTCCTAAGTCCATGCATAGGTGGCATAGAACTTGGCATAGATGGCAATGCTGCTGTGGTGACCTTGCAAGGGTGCCTCAACAAACAGATCCTCCTAAACATTGGGTTGATGAGCTTCTGTAACGATATGCAAAATAAGCTTATTATTCATCTGGTTTCTTTCCTGCCAGCTCTTTATTATATTTATTATGTGCATAGACAGAACCTTCCACCTGCACAGAGCCTCACTGATGTCTTTGATGCTTCTCATAGGCCCTGACATCTATCTGCCAGCTTCATGCTATGGGATTGAGGACCTGATGTCTTCTAGCTGCAGCTGATGCTTTTCCAAAGACCTTATATTATGAGCTTGTCCTAACACAAGGCAAAGCAAATGCATCCCTTTTTATATGTGAACACAATGTGTGAAATACCAAAGTTTTAGTTTGGTATTGACAAAAGAGCCATCAGTTCCTGAGCCTAAAACTGAAATGGCGCAGGAAAAACAACTATCCTGCATCCTTGGTTTTCTAAGACCGTACTTCTGAAATGTAAATTTTGTCCATTTTTTTTTTTTCTATCAGCGAGCTTTTTCAGGTGCTTGAGCTCTTTGACGCCTTTTATGTAGTGGTAGGTAGGAATAACTTTTGGCTTAGAGTTAGAGCACGGACAAAGTTTGTGGAGCCTTGGTTTGCTGTACTAACGTGGAGATCTGGCAGCCGAGGTGTCATGTTTCCATTTCTCAAGGGTTTGCTCAAAGTCTGCATAGCTCAAATAGCCCTACACCTTTTTATGGATTAGTGGAGGATGTATTATATCTGGCAGAACTGCTGTAAGCTTTGTTAAACAAATCAGAAAGCATCTGGTCAGAGGTACTACACGTGTGTCAGGCCTTATATATATATATCTTTAAATTTGACCCATAACTCTCCTTCCTCTAGACTCTACAGTCTTTATTAGTCACTTAGAAGACACCATACCAGTTGTCTTCATTACATCTTTACATTCAAAGGCATGAATTTTGTGCATTTTTGTATGCCCATTGATGATTCTAATTCTTGCTTTATATGCAGAATCAATATAGAAGCTCGCAAATCTCCAAAGATGTCACGAGCTGCACAGGAGATATCAAGATCGCCAAGGTTACCAATAAGGAAACCTTCTATTGGTTCGCCAAGCCTAACCCGAAGAGAGTTTCCTTTAGAAGATATTACTCAGGTATTGTGCACATTGTTGCCAGACCTGAGTCCAAATGCATCTCCTTCCAGTTCAATGTCAGTGTTCAAAAGTGTTAGTGGAATATCAGACATTGTTTGATAAATCCTGATGCCACTAACTTCTGTCAATGTGGATCCATGAGAGAGGTTTTATCCTAGGTGATGTTGTTGGCTGTTTGAAATTGTATGTGAAAATGCTTCTTATTCAGTTTCTCAGAGCTGTCCTAATGCCACCGTAGTTCTCTGCCTTACTAGGAATTGCAGAAATAAGGAAATGCTTGCTTCAGAAGGACACATGTTCTGTTTCATGATTCATAGAGTCATAGAACAGTTTGCGTTGGAAGAGACCTTTAGAGGTCATCTCATCCAACTCCCCTGCAATGAGCAGGGACATCTTCAACTAGATCAGTAACATGGAATAGCCTTAATTGGCAGGAAGGCAAGTAATTAGCACTTTGTGCTCTTTGTGGTGTTTGTGGCCTGTGGGTAAGTGAAACTTAGCAGGCTGTAGAACTGTCTGGGTTACATATTTTATTAATACCAGCCTGTGTTCTTTTAATCTTGTTTTGTTTCATTTCGGTTGTTTTTTTCTGCTCTGTCTTTTCACTTTTTCCTTTATATTGAAACATTGTAGATCACTTACATAGCAGTGGTAGATAGGACCAAAAGTCCTTTGAACTCTGGGCAGGAGACCAGAGGCTTAGATCCTGCTCCTGACATTGACAACATAACTCTTGGCCTTTGAGAAAATCTCTTAGTCTTTCAGACACATAATTTGATCACCATGGAAGCAGTGGTTTGGGAAGCTGCTTTGGAAGCTCCAAAGAAAAGTGTCTCCAGGAAAAGTGTGTTTGTCATTATGAGTAATTAATTTCTGTCTTATTTATTGTTCTATAAAGTGATTTGTAAGCATAGAACCAAAGGGCAGGGTGTATCGCTTTCTGAAACACAGAATAGCCACACTCTTGTTGTGCAGGAGAAGCAAGCGTGTGAAAACAGACCTGTTCTCACTAAGTAGCTGCCATGTTTTTCAGTTCTTCAACAGCTTTAATCAGCCTAGGTGGTGGTCAGATATCAAAATGAGACTTATTAATGGCCAGGTATAATAGTTGCTACATAGGCACATTAGGCTGTTTCAATAAAATAAAAACAAGAGAAGCTGAAATTGTATTATCACTTGAAATAGCTTGATTGCTCTGCTGGTTTTTATTAGAGCTTGATACAGATTTTATTAGGTGAAAATGATCTTGTTTTTGCTTTGCAGCACAACTACCTTGCTCAGGTCACATCTAATATCTGGGGAACGAAATTTAAAATTGTGGGTTTGGCTGCTTTCCTACCAACTAACCTTGGTGCAGGTAAAAGTAGACTCTATTGATTTTTTTGCATGTCAAACTCTTTCTAACAAACAATAAACTTATGCCATGTGATTCTTTTTAAGTGATCAAAAGGCTTCTTTAACAAAGCACTTATTTTCTGTGGACAGTAGGAATTAGATTTTGCAAAATTCACTGTAACTTTATAAAAGAGGTTAAAATCTATGAACACAATAACAAGGTGATCAATAAAATGTTAAAAGTCCCAGCTGTAAAAAAAAAAATTAACAGTCAAGCCCAGACCTTTATTTTTACAGTTTATTTGAACAAAACCTGAACTAACAAACAAAAGTTTTGCAAGACGACTATAAAAATCTCAGGGTTTAAGTTACTGTAATAGAAATATTTTTAAAACTCAGATTTTTATAGTCATTTAGCTACTAGTTATAATAAAATAATGTTAAGAAAACTCTTGCAGCATCATGCTCAAGATTCTTCAAGTTAGTTCATAGCTTTATCACATGGTTCTCTTGCTGGAGCATCAGTAAATTGATAGCCTTTGTTAAAAGTAGTAGTTGTCTAGTCTCTTGACCTTCATCTGTGTATGCCATTTCTCCTTTCAGTCCTGCTG